GTTTTTGTTTTTAATATGTTGATCTCATTAGTAAATTTTTCATCCATTTCCTGGATTATTTTTCTGGTTTGAGTTGACTTTCCATTTTCTCTTGGATTTCATTGAACTTCCTTACAATCCATATTTGGTATTCTTTATCTGTCATTTCGGTAATTCATTTTGATTGGTATCCATTGCTGGAGAGCTGGTGTTCCCTTTTAGGGGGGTCCTTTCACTCTGATTTTTCATACTTATGGAGTGCTTTCACTAATTCCTTCTCATCTGGAGCAGCTGTCACTCTTGTTTTTGGATTTTCTTTTGTTTAGATGGGGCTTCCCACACACATACTCCTATGATTGTGTCTGAAGCATTTGTTGGGTAAGAACCTTTGGCTTTGCTTGTGGGTGCTTTGATGGTATTCTAGGTTCTGGATAGATGCCTTGATAATAGATATTCTTAGTGTGGTGGTTTTCTCAGTTGCTAGTTGTTTATAGGCTGTAGCAGTGTTAAGCTATGTATGTGGGCATATTCTTAAAAATATATCGTAGTGAAGCTGGGCACAGTGATCCCAGTTCCTTGGGAGGTTAAGGCTGGAGGATGTCTTGAGCCCAGAAGTTCAGCCTGGGCAATGTACCAAAACCCCAAGTCTCTTTAAAAAAAATCTCTGAATGCCAGAAAGTAAAAATAGAGTGAAAAGACGCATGACATACATATCAAAGACTAAGGCTAATAACTTTAATATATAAGGAAATAAATAATTCAATGGGAAAAACAGGGAAAGGTCATGAATTGTCAGTTCAAATGAAACACAAATAGGTTTTAGAGATATGAAAGATGTTCATAATTCAAACAATAAAAATTAACACTGAGTTTCTGGTTTTCAAATATCAAATTAGGAAAAACCCTAAAGTTTATAATTAAACTTTATTTAAGAAAGACTGAGGATTAAAAATTTTGTTACCTTCAAGAAAATTTTACGATTTATATAGCAAAAGAAATTTAAGAGTTCAACTTTCATAAATTAAAGATTCTTTGAAACCTTAAAAAAAAAGAAAAGAAAGACTGAGGAAACAGGTACTCTCCTATAATGAGAGAGACTATATTGTCAAGATAGCAACATCTCCCAAAAATATTCATGCACTTTGACATATTTCCAAGAATTTATCCTAGAGAAAAATTTTCACTTTTGCAAAATGACATGCATACTAAGATATTCTCTGCAGCGTGGACTATAATAGCAAAAACCTAGAAACAACCTTAATGTCCATCAGCAGATGAATTCAATATATTATTGTTCATCCACACAATGAAATGAGTGAAATTAGGAAAATCTTTATACACTAAAGAATAATCACCAAGATACATTGATTAGTGAAAAAAAGAAGACTGTAGAACAGTTTATATAGTATCTCACCGCTTGTGTTAAAAATACACACATATCTTACAACTCAACAAGGAAACAAACAAACTGATTTTAAAAACAAGCAAAGACTAAAGTAGACATTTCTCCAAAAAAGATGTATAAATGGCCAATAAGTACATGAAAAGATGCTCAACAGTACTAATCATAAGGGAATTCAAATCAAAACCCCAATGAGACACCAATTTGCACCCATTAGTGTAGCTATTATAAAAACAACAACATGGCCTGAGCAACATAGCAAGACCCTGTCTCTATAAAAAATAGAAAAATTAGCCAAGTGTGGTGGCACACACCTGGAGTCTCAGCTACTTAGGAGGCTGAGGCAGAAGGATCACTTGAGCCCAGGAGTTTGAGGTTGCAGTTAGCTGTGTTAACACCACTACACACTAGCCCAGGCAACAGAGCAAGAGCCTGTCTCAAAAAAGAAAAGAAAGAAAGAAAGAAAAAATTCTTACTGTATATATACAATATAATGTTGCCTATACAGATTAAAGAGAGGAAAGGTAAGTCTGAATTATATAATTCAAGTATATAAAGTGGAATAATTATAATAGCTAATATTGTTCTAAGCTTGAAATCCCAAGCTAATTTGTTCCAAGGTAATATGGTACTTTAAAGAGCTTTAAAAATGTCCACTGACAAAAGTGGCTCTCAAACATCTTGGTCTCAGAATTTCTTTTACACTCTTGAAAATTATCAAGGCCCTCAAAGAGCTTTTGTTTATATGAGTTATATGGATCTGTATTTATCGTATTAGAAATTAAACTTTAACATAATTTTATTGAAAATAACTATATTTTCTAAAACAAAAAATAAATTTAGAAGAATGACATTGTTTGACATATTTACAAATGTCTGTAGTTTTTGACTTAGCAGAAGACAGCTGAATTCTCATTTCTAGTTCTGCCTTCAATGTGTTGTAATATTGCACATCATGCAGACTTTGAAAAACTCCAATATACACTCCTAGAAAAAATGAGAACAAAAATAGCCAGTACCATCTTAGATTTACTATGAAAATAGGCCAGGCACAGTGGCTGATGCCCAGCACTCTGGGAGGCCAAGGCACGATGACTGTTTGAGACCAGGAGTTTGAGACCAGCTTGAGCAAGAGCAAGACCCCATCTCTACAAAAAATAGAAAAATTAGCTGGGCATGGTGCTGCACACCTGTAGTCCCAGTTACTTGGGAGGCTGAGGCAGGGGAATCCTTTGAGGCCAGAAGTTCCAGGTTGAAGTGAGCTATGATGAGGCTACTGCACTGCAGCCCGAGACAGAATAAGACTCTGGGAAGGAAAGAAGAAATGGAGGAAGGAAAGAAGAGATAAAGGAGGGAGAGGGAAGAGGGGCAGAGAGGGGAGAGGAGACGAGACAAGAAAGAAAATAGTTTTGACTTGACAGATCCCCTAAAAAGGTCTTGGGGACACACTGGGGTCTTTAAATCACACTTTGAGAACTACTTACAACCAATCTGATGAGGCAAATGTAAAAATGGAGGCACAAAGAGAAGAAATAAGTTATTCAGAGTCACAGAGCTGGGATGGGAACCCAGGAAGTCTGACTCCAGACCTCAGGCCTACTCCTCAGAGGTCCGAGGAAAACAGGAGCCCATCTCATGTTTCAGATGGTGGTGTGCAACCTATGGGTGGTTGCCCAGCAGCCACGATACCAGACCTCCCCTCTACCTAATGTGATAAAATTTCAAATTAAATCTTTCAACTTGTGCAAAACAGAGATATGGGGAAGGGAGAATAGGTTGAGACCTAGACCTCTAAGGGGCTCTACAAGGGAAGTAACACCATACCTCCACCTGCAAGATAAAGCACACTGGGGAGGAGCAGCCAATGCCTTGGAGCCTCTCACCAAACAGCTCTCTTCCCTGCCCACACATGCCATTGTGTACCTCTCTGGCACACTCACTCCATTGAAAGACACTTCTTTGCACCACTCAACCTTTTGTTTTTTCCTTTTGAGTTGACACATAATATAACTGTACATATTTATGGGATCCAGAGTGATATTTCAATACATGTATATTATCAAATCAGGGTAATTAGCATATCCATCACCACACACATTCATCATTTCTTTGTGTTATGAACATTCAAAATCCTCTCTTCTAGCTTTTTGAAAATATGCAGTAAATTATAGTTAACCGTATTCACCCTATAGTGCTACAGAATGCCAGAACTCATTCCTATCTAGTTGTATTAATAATTTTATATCTGTTAATTAACCTTTCCCCATCCTCCCTTCCCCCTCCTACCCTTCCCAGCCTCTAATACCCACAATTCTATTCTCTATTTCCATGAGCTCAAATTCTTTTTAGCTCCCACATGTGAGTGAGAACATGAGGCATTTATCTTTCTGTGCCTGACTTATTTCACTCATTGTCATGTCCTGCAGGCTTATCCATGTCGCCATGAATGACAGGATTTCATTCTTTTTTATGTACACCACTCAGTCTTGTCTTTTTTTTTAGACAGAGTCTCACTCTCACTCTGTTGCCCAGGCTAGAGTGCCGTGGCGTCAGCCTAGCTCACAGCAACCTCAAACTCCTGGGCTCAAGCGATCTTACTGCCTCAGCCTCCTGAGTAGCTGGGACTACAGGCATGCACCACCATGCCCGGCTAATTTTTTTTATATATATATCAGTTGGCCAATTAATTTTCTTTCTATTTTTCTTTTTTAGTAGAGACGGGGTCTCGCTCTTGCTCAGGCTGGTTTTGAACTCCTGACCTTGAGCAATCCACCCGCCTCGGCCTCCCAAGAGCTAGGATTACAGGCGTGAGCCACAGCGCCCGGCCCTAATTTTTTCTATATATTTTTAGTTGGCCAATTAATTTGTTTCTATTTTTAGTAGAAACGGGGTCTCACTCTTGCTCAGGCTGGTCTCGAACTCCTGACCTTGAGTGATCTGCCCGCCTCGGCCTCCCAGAGTGCTGTCAGATATTAAAGCATTTTATAAACTGATAGCAGTTAATACAGTGTTAAACTAGTATAAGATGGAAAGGTAAAGCAATACATCATAATACAACCCTGATTAGATTGTTATATAAAACATAACGTACTATAAAGAAAGCCTAACTATTCAAAAAATAAATAAATAAACTGTTTAGTAATTTGGGGGAAAAAAGTCTATTTAGACATTTACTTTTAATAATAAACCAAAGTAAATTCCAGATACAATAACCTCTTTTGGCCAGGCATGGTGGCTCACGCCTGTAATCCTAGCCTTCTGGGAGGCCAAGGCTGGTGGATTGCTCAAGGTCAGGAGTACGAAACCAGCCTGAGCAAGAGCGAGACCCTGTCTCTACTAAAAAAGAAAAATAGAAAGAAAATTAATTGGCCAACTGATATATATAGAAAAAATTAGCCGGGCATGGTGGTGCATGCCTGTAGTCCCATCTACTCAGGAGGCTGAGGCATCAGGATTGCTTGAGCCCAGGAGTTTGAGGTTGCTGTGAGATAGGCTGATGCCACGGCACTCTAGCCCAGGCAACAGAGTGAGACTCTGTCTAAAAAAAATAAATAAATAACTGCTTTTACAAACGGAGACAGAGCTGAGGCTGGGAAAAGCAGGAACAGCCCTCACTCACTATGTTCAGAGGGCCTCCCCTGGAAACACGGGTACACAGTCTGCCCCTAAAAAAGAAATTCATTTGAGTTACACCTTTGCTGCTAACCTACTGTACAATCTTGGGCAAATGCTTTCACTTCTCTGTCCTTAATTTCCAATTTCTAGAGTGGATGGCAACGATATCAGCAGCTTGAGAACACTCATAACCTTTAAAGTGCTATCTATACAAATTAATATACAGAATACAGATTTAAAAATCACATTCGTCCATGTTGCTACTCCTCAAAAATGCTTAGCATCAATATTTTAATGTTAAAAATAATGCTAATTTTCTCAGTAACCATATTTATTTAATAAAGTAGACCATTTAAGTTGTAAAAACATACACTTTCCCTCAGGGCCTAAGTGAAGTTATTTTAATTTTGAATGGAAAAAAGATGCAGCCCATAAACATGTTTATTTTCCCCCAATTGGCCCTTTTACCAAAAAAGGCCTGGCATCACTGCTCTAAGGGATTTGGGAGATTTTCTTTTCACTGCTACGGTCAGGAAGCCTAAAGGCAGAAGATGTCCTTGAAAAATTGGGGTGAGGAGGGTGGGGAGTAGCACAACAAAAGATTTGGAATTAGAAAAACCCAGATAGGACTTGGAGGGAACTATTTACCTTCCCCTTATCTCCAGAAACTAGAGATGCCAACACATAGTACACACATAAGATTAAAATGAGGTAGCAAACACAGGGCCAGAGTGCCCAACCAAAGGTAGTTTGTCAGATAGTGAGCCTTAAGTAAATGATGGTTGCTTTTTCTCTGTCTCCTCCTCTCTCATAAAGCCACACTTTACCTCACTTCTCTAATAATACTTCTCCCTCCTGCCCCGGGAGAAACCACCCTTCAATGAGAAGTCTGAGGTCAAGGCACTTGCCCTTCATATTTTTTTTTCTTTTTCTTGTTACTATTCCCACTTTACAGATGACACTCATATATTTAGTCATTCAAATTCCAGGCCAGAGCTGCATGCTCTGCACCTGCTCCCAGACCTTATCACCACCACCCCCACCCCACCCACCCATTTTCCTGCTAGGATACTCACAGTGAGGCTTCCTGCTCCATACAGTGTCGCTCCCACTGTATGCAACGTGACCAGAGCCGCCTGGAGCTGAACAGCGCTGCAGCTGGGCATGTCGCCCTCACTCTTCCTTGGCAAAGGCTGAGCCAAGGCTCACATAAGGCATACTACAATGAAGGCGCTGGAAAGATGGACTTAACCCCACTGTCCTTAACCACTGCAGTACGGCCCATAAACACAGTTGGGGTATACAACAAAATTTTACAAGGTGTGATTAATACTATAAGGTAATAAAACCAATTGTACTTATCAGTCTTGTACCTTCAGGTGTGAGGAACTAAGGAATACATATGTTAATAGTTACAAATTGTCATAAATAAAATCTCTTATTGTTCATTCAGTTTTGCTCAAGTTTAAAGCATTTAGTCCCCTGACTAGTGTGGAAGTGATGGTACTGGTTTATAAGCATCAAACAATTCCTTTCCAGTACCATTTCTTTCTCTTTTTTTTTTTTAAGAGATGGAGTATTGCTATATTACCCAGGTTAGCCTCAAACTCCTGGGCTCAAGTGATCTTCCCACCTCAGCCTCCTGAGTAGCTGGGACTACAAGCATGTTTCACCATGCCTGGCTTCCATTACCAGTTTTAAATCACTTCCCACTGCTTTGCTGACCTCTGTACTAGATACTAAGTCTCGAGATTGTAATCCCATCAAATAATATTCATTTAGCCTGGTCTCCTAGAAGATGGTTTCATTTCTTTGATCTGTGTGGCACAGATCCTACAATTCCTATAGACTCTAATCTCCTCTACCTTTTGCCTTTTTTTTTTTAAGTCTCAAGCTATTCTTTGTCTCTTGTCCTCCATTACAGATCTACCAGTATTCATGTCTTTCTCTCATCTTTTTATCTTCTTCTGTTTGGGTTCTTTTTGCTATTTTATTGGGGGAGTGTACCATTGTTTAAGCATTATTAATCATTCTTTGTAATACCCCATTCATGACTTGATAAAACATATTTATGTATTTTAAAATGCAAACTCTATTCATTCACTCGACAAATATTTACTAAATGCCAACTATGTGCCAAGCACTAAAACTACAGTAGAGTTCTTCTCACTCACAGAGTTTACAATCTATAGGTCGGAATGGCCAATACAAATACAGTATATTCTTTCCACCAAGCTATGAAGAATAAGAAACAGTATTTATCTGAAGCAATAGTTAGCAAAGATCTTTTACAGGGCACAGGAAAATAAATACTGTAAATAGCATAATAAATCCAAAGTACAATATAAGAATAAAAGAGCCCTCTTCTATTTTATGAGTGGTATCAGCAATTTACAATTGTAACAAAAGAAGTATTTCCAAACCTCACATCCACTGTATTATTCGACTCATGGTCAAACACTTCAAATGCGTCTTTGATTTTTTTGTGCAATTCTGCTACTACAGCCTCTACAAAAGACAAAGTAAATAAAAATTATTTTCCTTTAATTTTGAATTCAAAACAAAAATTTCAATAACCAAACTAGAAATCTTTTTGTTTTCTTTTTGTTTTATTTATTTTTTTTTGTTTTTTTTATTTTTATTTTATTTATTTATTTTTTAGTTTTTTTCTTTTTATGTTTTTATTTTTGGAAGGCTCTGCACCCGGCTCACGTAGGGGCACTCTCACCCATAAAACCAAAAATGAAGGTTTCTGAAACCAGTGCCTAAGGCCAGGGAGGGTGAGGTCCCTGACTGGCCTGCTGTCTCCATCAGACACAGCTCCAGGCTTGTCACACTGAAGACCCCAGTCAAAGTGAGTTGAGAAGAAATGATTAGGCTGAGTCTGCATGTCAGCCACAGGCTGCCCGGTGGGGTGCAAACTGGTACAGCTCCTCGGGAGGGCAACTCGTCCACAGCTGGCAGAACTGCCAAAGAATACATGCTTTCCCCCCTCAATTCTGCTTCTTGGAATTTATTTTATACATATACCTACACGGGTACCAAATAGCATGTATACAAGTTTATTCACTCCAGTTTTGTTTATACCAGAAAGAGATTGGAAATAATCCAATGTATCTCAAGAAAAGACTAAATAGTTCATGGTACAGACAAAAAATAGAATATTATGTAGTTATTTTTTTAAAAGAAAAAATTGTGGTATCCTCTATATACAAATAATAGGAAAAAAATCCAAAAAATTAAGTGAATAAAATCAGGATATAAAACTGTATGTATAGTATACTACCTTCTCTATATAAAAAGAGGTAAAAATAAAATCTTCACTCCTATTTACTTTTTTAAAACTCAGGAAGATCTCCCATGCACACACATTTAAAAATAATAGATATGGGCCCTGGCACAGTGGCTCACACCTGTCATCCCGGCACTCTAGGCATCCCGCCAGGGCAGGATGATTACTCGATATAAGCCTGGGCAACATAGTGAGACCCCATTTCTACAAAAAATTTTAAACTAGCTGGGCATGGGCGTGGCGGTAGTCACGTAGTCAGGTAGTCACCTGTAGTACTAGCTACTTGGGAAGCGGAGGCAGAAGGATCACTTGAGCCCAGGTATTGGAGGTTGTGGTGAGCTATGATGATGCCACTGCACTCTAGCCCAGGCAACAGAGTAAAGACCCTGGCAAGAAAAGAAAGAAAGGAACGAAGGGAGGGAGGGAGGGAGGAAGGTAAGAAGGAAGAAAGGGAGGGAGGAAGAAAGGAAGGGAAGAAGGGAAGGAGGGAGGAAGGAAGGGAGGGAGGAAGGAAGAAAAGAAGGGAGGGAGGGAGGAAGGAAGAAAGGAAGGGAGGGAGGGAGGAAGAAAGGGAGGGAGGGAGGAAGGAAGAAAGGGAGGAAGGGAGGGAGGGAGGGAGGAAGAAAGGAAGGAAGGGAGGGAGAGAAGGGAGAGGGACTTTTTTTTTTTTTTTTTTTTTGAGACAGAGTCTCACTTTGTCCCCAGGCTAGACTGCTGTGGTGTCAGTCATCTCCTCCTAGCTCACTGCAACCTCAAACTCCTGGGCTCAAGCGATCCTCCTGCCTCAGGCTCTGCCCTCGTGAATGGATTTATGCCATCATCTCAGGAGTGGGTATGTTATAGTGGGACTGTGTATCTTATAAAGGATGAATTCAGCCCCCTTCTCCCCCCATATGATGCCTTCTGCCATGTTATGATGCAGCAAGAAGGCCCTCATGGTGTACCAACCCCTTAATCTTGAACTTTCCAGTCTCTAGAACCGTGAGAAATTAATTCCTGTACTTTATAAATTACCTAACCTGTGGTAATCTGTTACAGTAGCACAAAACAAAGACATCCTCCTCTTTAATGAAAGTGTCTTGGATATTGTCCTTTGCCACTGTACATTGGATGGTGAGGGGCAAATAACGTCCCTTTAGTTCAAAGGTCTATAGATCGAGAGAAGCTGTATTCAAGGAGCTATACTTAAGTAACTATAGCCAAGGAACCTCATCTACACCTGGGCTTGATTTAGATATGACATTTTGGATTTTGAGCTGATGCTGTAAATAGATGGAAAGCCCATTTTGGTGGACCTTGGGAGAGGGTGAGTGTATTCTACATGAGGGAGGGATGTGAATCACTGGACACCAGAGGGCCGACTGTGGTAGCCAGTCTCCAAGATGCCTCTCAATGACCTCCACCTCTTGGCATTCACATCATTGTGTAGTCCTCTCCAATATTACACCAAGGTTAGTTTATGTCACCAGTAGGATACAGCAAAAGTAATAGTTTGTCATTTCTGAGATTAGGTTATAAAAGATGCTGTGGCTTCTGTCTTGATTTCTCTCTATCTCTTACTCTGTGGGATACCAGATGCAATGTTGTAAGAACGCTCAAGTGGCCATTTGTCAAGAAACTGAGGCCTCTAACCAACAACCAGTAAAGAACCAAGGCTTCCTGCCAATAGCCATGTGAGCGAACCCTAGACTTGTGAGAGAACCTGAGCCAGAATCAACAAATAAAGCTATACCCAGAAATTATGGGAGATAATAAAAATTTATGGTTTTAAGCTGCTAGGTTTGAGGGTAATTTGTTACACAATAATAGTTAATACAGGGACTATATCAAATTCATTTTTCTACTTCTGCAATCCTAGTTGTTTAACAAGTTTTGCTAAATAGGATTAATTTTTCTTTCCCTTCTATCACCCGAACTCATCACTTTCTCAATTTTATAAAGAATTCAAGGTTTGAAAAGTTATTTTGGAGGTAATATAAAAGAACTTTTCCTCACTAACCATATACTTGTGTTCACTGTTGCTGTTGTCTATACTTTAAGGAAAATGTGGTACAACTTAGCTTTAAAATGAGCAGGGTAGGTTTCCGTCTTCTCATAGTTTGCTATTTTCCTGTAAACAGCTTTTACAAATTTGAAGGAAAGGTTTTCCTTGCTGAAAAAGTTATCAAGCCTAAAAACAGTATGTAATCACAGATATGTCTATAAAAAGATGTCTGTCATCTGCATTTTATAGTTTAGAAAGCTTATTGCAGTTTCCAGCTCTTCCCATCTATGGTTTTTGAGTGGTTTAAAACACATGCAGATGCAGCCTGGGCAAGGGCGAAACCCTGTCTCTACTATAAATAGAAAGAAATTAATTGGCCAACATATATATATAGAAAAAATTAGCTGGGCATGGTGGTACATGCCTGTAGTCCCAGCTACTCGGGAGGCTGAGGCAGCAGGATCATTTGAGACCAGGAGTTTGAGGTTGCTGTGAGCCAGGCTGACGCCACGGCACTCACTCTAGCCTGGGCAACAAAGTGAGACTCTGTCTCAAAAAAAAAAAACAAAAACAAAAACAATACATACAGGCACAAAATGTTAAAGACCTTCTAGAAACCAGCTGATTTCTTTTTAAATTAATCAGTTCAGAAAGTCTGGACTGATTAACAGCTTTTAATTTCTATACTATGAAAACCCCAAAAAACTCTTTTTAAAAGGTTCAAACCACATAAAAATGACTTACTTGAAAGGTATTGAATGTCAAGAAAAAACATAGTTTCCTTATGAATATTTGTTTCCTGATTTTAAATAAATGTCAAGATCTATACATGATTTTCCAGAAATTTGGAACTGTTAATATAAGAGTTTAAAAAGCAGGTAACAACCAAATGCTGACCAAACAGGCCCTGCCTCCCACTGGCCTATTACTTTATCTTTTTTTTTTTCAGAGACAGGGTCTCATCTGTCACCTAGGCTGGAGTACAGTGGCTATTCATAGACATAATTATAGTATACTGCAGCCTCGAACTCCTGGGCTCAAATGATCCTCCTGTCTTAGCTTCCTGAGTAGCTGAGATTACAGGCACATGCCACCACGCCCAGCTGGCATCTACTACTTTCGAACTCCTGACCTCTAGCGATCCGCCCACCTCCTCGACCTCCCAGAGTGCTAGGATTACAGGCGTGAGCCACCAAGCCCAGCCAAGGGATCTACTACTTTCGACTGACACAAATAGTGTACCTGCATGGGGAGCAGTCTGGTAGGACTGAGCCCTTAACTTGTGGGTCTGCACTAACTACAGGTAGTTGATGTCAGAATTGAGTTAAATTGTAGGACACCCAGTTGGAATACACAGAAAACTGGAAAATTATTTGGTGTGGAAAACCCACAGATTTGTGGTGTCAGAAGTACTGTGAGTAAAAACAGATCCTAGTGGTAGCAGCAGTAAAAGTGCTTTAAAAAAAAAAACCCACATTAATGGGGCTATGTCAAAGGGACACAGGAGCCAACTGAAAGAGTTCCCAATGACCAAAGCTGGAATAATTTAAACAAAATAAAATAGTACTGAATTACAACCCAAAGTATAAAATAAATATCCATAAGACCATACTCACAGAAATAAATGATTGACTATAGTGCCCCCATATTCACAAGGGATATGTTCTAAGACCCCCAGTGGATGTCTGAAACCTCGTGTTAATATAATAACAAACCTATGTATACTATGTTTTTCCCTACATATACAAACCTATGATGAAATTTAATTTATAAATTAGGCATATTAAAAGATTAGCAACAATCACTAATAATAAAATAGGATTACAATATACTGTAATAAAAGTTATATGAATGTAGTCTTTCTGTCTCTCTCAAAATATCTTATTGTACTCACCCTTCTTTTAGTAATGATGTGAAATGATATGATATGTATGAGATGAGATGAAGTGAGGTGAATACATAGGTATTGTGACGTAGCATTCGGCCACTATGGAACTTCTGAGATATGGCAGAAGAATCATCTGTTTTGGGTGCTCCTGGATCATCAAGCCATGCAGATGTTCATGGCTGGATGCCAGGAGCGGATGATATCAATGACTAAGGGCAGGTAGCATATATAGTGTGGATAAGAT